TCTCCCTTCTTCCCCCACTTTTGCTTCCAAACTCCCCTCCAGTTCTTCTTGCCTCACCGCTTTCCTACAAAACAATTCCCCGTAAAACCTAGTCACCTCCCGCAATACCCCATCCACATCCTCCACTCTCCCTCCGTCGGCCATGCGGACTGCCCCCATCACCCGCTTCTTCCTTCTCACCCACAAGGCGAAAAACCTGCCCCATTCCTCTCCCTCATCCACCCACTCTGCCTTGGCCAGGAACATCCGTTCTTGCATCGTGGTCCGGAACCAATTTTTCACTCCCTCCCTCACCCTTTCCCATTCTCCCTTTACCGCTGCCCACTTCTTCAGCTCTTCCCACAATCTTTGAACTTCCCCTTGTAAGCGCGCTAGCTCCTTCTTCCTCTGCCACGCCCGCTTTCTCTCCACACCAGTGAACCACTCCCGCACACACTTCTTGATTTCTACCCACCAGTTCCACCGTGTTGGGAAAAAGGGCTGTAAAGTTTGCCACTGCCAGTAAGGACACATTTAATTTCCAGACCCCTCTCCCCTGTTTATTTAAGCCCTTGCCCGATGCCCACTTTTACCCACAGAACACGATGATCCAAGAAGCTGACATCTATCAGTCGCTTGCTGCGGATTGCCAACCCCTCCGACACCAACACAAAATCGATCCTCGATTGCCCCTGCCCACCCGGATCCACTCTAGTAAAAACTCCTGTCCCTTCCCAAATATCCTGGAGCCCCTCATCTTTAATCCACCCCCGCAGCCACTTCCCCGTACTATCCATCCCGACTCCCTGCCCTATCCCAATCCGCCCACCCTCTTCAAGTATGCAATTAAAATCCCCCATCATGATCTGCGGTCCTCCACCCCACATACACATCCCCATTTTGTGGAAGAATTGCACCCTCTCTGTTCTCTTGGCTGGGGCATAGACGCTGTACAAAGTCACCTCCACACCCTCCACCTCAACCACTGCCTTTTGCAGTCGCCCTTCTTCCAGGACCTGCTGGTCTTTAATTTTCAAACCCCCCTCCCTTGCCAGGAGCCCTACTCCTGCTGCTTGATTCTCATTTGAACCCCCCCACCATGATGATCCCACCTCCCAGCGCTTCTCCAGATATCTGTAATTTCTTCCCCAGGGAATCCTGCACTCCTGCAAGCCCAACACCTGCGCGTCCAGGCCTTGTAAGGTGCTATACATTGAATCCCATCTCTGCCTCCCGTATAAACTTCTTACATTTAAGGATGCTATGGTCAATGCCATCAAGGCTATTTTCCAGAGAGAAATATGCCTCATAAATCATCCGTGCCGCTACTGGGGTCTGAGGTGTCTTCCCCCACTTTCCGCATCCCTGTGGCCCTAGCCAGATGTTCAATCGTGCTCGGGCTCAGATAGCCATAACTTTCTGCCCTTCCAGATTCCTCAACCTCTCGTCCCTCCACAGGCAGCTCCCCGCTCTTCCCCCTGCCTTTTTCCAGTGCAGTCCCTTCTGTCTCCCAGACCGTTCCCTCTTCCTCCTCTATTCTCTTTTTCTTTGGTTTAACCCTCCATTTCTTCTTTCTTTTCATGGGGGAAGGCTCTTTCCCCTTATCCCCAGACAGATCCAAGTCCATGCTTGCCGAGTCAGATTCGTGTGCCCCTTCTCCCACTGCCTTGCTCTGCTCCTCCTCCATCTGTTCCTCTCCTCCCGACTCGAAGAGCTGGTTGGCCGCCTCGATCACGTCATCTCTCTGCTCCGCTTCTGGTGTTTCCTCTACTATGAAGGTGTCCATATCCAAGTTGGTGGACTCCGCATCCTCTGGATTTTCTTTATCCCTCTCCTCTGCTGAGTGGGACTCTCGTGCTTTGTTCGCGTAGGACAGGGGGCACCAGCGCTGCAGGTGCCCCTCACCTCCACAAACGGTGCATTTCATTTCCTGTTTGCAGGCTTTGGCCTGGTGCCCCATACTAAAAGGTAGCTTGGTTTTCAGTCCAGTTGGGAGCCATTGCTTAGGAGCACTTCACTACCATCTGAGCAAGGTGCAGAAAACTGGCTGTCATTTTAGTTAAGAGCAAGCTGGATTCAGTGCCCTTAACAGGGAATGAGAACTACTGGTAATTTTGAGAATGCTTCTATTTGTCACTTAAGCAATACAATGGGAACGTAGACACTTCTGTTTCTCTAAGGTTGCTTTCTCTGCCATGTCTTCTGTGAACCCTGAAGTGAGCAGCCTACAAGAAATTATAGGCTTGTGCCCTGTGTCTCAGGGGGCTGCTAACTTAACTTAGTTCTCAGTAATATCTCTGACTTGTTCTTCTGGTCCTGTGGGGCTACCAATTTTCCTCAGAGGCCAGCTCCCCTGTCCACAGTCTGGGATAAATCACTGCATTCCCCCCCCCCCCCCAACACACACCTGCTTAATTACAGGCCATTGGCCTGAGACTCAGGTTCTTGGGAGATTGCCTAGGCTCTCAAGATTTATTGCAAAAATCTCACCAATTCTGGTGCAGACAGCTGTCAGTCCCTTAAGTACCTGGCTGCAGTGGACATGAAAGCCAGTCGTTTGTACAGTGCATGCGGAAAAGGAAATAACCTGATATTTTCAAACAAAGCAAAACACTCTTCTCCTCCCTCAAAATATTAGCAAATCATTGCTGTTGCTGTTTTTTAACATGTTTTATCATGCAGTGTCTTATGAGTTGTTGGGGCATGTTTATACCATTTTTCACTTGCCATTCACAGATTATCAAGGTGGATTGATTTAAATCATTATTTAAATCACCAACTGGAAAGCCTTGATTTAAATCATCAATATTAATCAGCTTTTCCATTTGTACTCCAGTTACTTTTCTGAAGAAAGGCACCTTCTAATTAGCTGATCTAACCATTAGAAGCTGTAGATTTAAAACTAACCAGAACCTTTTATACTAGATTTGGTACATATTTTTGCTACATAGGAGGGTGTGCTATAACTGTATACATTCATTTAAGCAATTATATATCATAATGTTTCCATATTCTTGTTAATTTTATATTTTGAGTCTGTTAGAAAATGGTTACTGATTTATTGCTTAAGGACCCACCACAAGATAAATTCCTTAAGACAGCACATGGCCTATTATTGTGCCGTATTTATAAAGCTTAACCTCAAAAATATTAGATTTTTCCCTCTGATCTTTTCTTTATATAAAAAGCATGCAGCCTATAACCGAAATACTTTGGTAGAGGCTCACAGATTCAGCCTATTTATTTTTTATTTAACTATTTTAAGAGATTATTAAAAGTTCAGGCCTTAACAGTGTTTTGTTTTAAACTCAAATTTAATTTTAAACAACTACATTTTAAAATTAGACAAACATATGATAATATACATACTAACATTAAAATCCAAGCCAATTTAAATAAAGATGGGGAAAAATCATACTGTGCAATCAGTCCTAAGGGTAATTGTAGCATTCCAAATACATAACAGTTTTCTTTCTCTACTACTTCTTTCCTTTTGCTTTGGTCTTTTTTGACTAAAATCTTTGTTTAGAATTTTCTAAAATTCCATTATTTGTTTGGTGATGATTCCAGAACTTGCATTTAAATCTATATGGCCTCCTTGCATCAGTTTTCCTACTAATGGACCAGCTAACATTTCCTTACCCCTGGGGACTCAACACCTCAATACAGATGCAGTGACTGTTGACAGATGTCACATATGACACCATTCTCCCTTAAAAGGAGAAATGATGTATATCTAAATGCTATTTATTGCATGAAAACTGCTGGGGATGATCAAATGAAGAGAGAATAACCACGGAGTGACAGTGCTGAGAACTACCTCCTTTTATATTTCTCCAGCGAGTTTGGCAGGATAGTTTTATGGAGGAGGCAATTACGTGAACTGCTGGCTGACATTTTCAGGCTTTGAGGTGGGCCTTAGACTCATAGATTTACAGATTTTTTTTTGAGGCCAAAAGGGACCATTAGATCATCCAATTTGACCTCTCACATAACACAGGCCATAGAATTTCTCAACACAAGTTATCCGGACCTGCTGATTTAAAAATATTTATTTCTAGGAGATGCTGTTTAGCATCTTCCTTAGTTACTAATGGACTGGAAAGCAGTTCATCATCCACATGTGATGTGAACGGATCATTTCTGCTTCTTTCCAGAAACAGAACAAAAATATTTTTGAACACTTCTGTTTTTTCTGCCTCATTATTAACAATTTTCCTCAGCCATGAGAAAGAGTTTGTTTCGCTAGTGCTTTCCCTCCCCGTGTCAGTAATGTGGCATTTTTCTTCTCAAAAGACAACCCCCCCTGCAGAGATGTGCATCAAGAGAAATAATATTGCCTTGGCTTACACTGTACCCTATATTTCTATCCTTTGTGCACACTCTACTTGGACAGAATGAAGCTGCCAGATTTCAGAAGCTGAACAGGGTTCAGTCTGACCTCTATTTGAGTGGGCCACCCATAGAGAAATCTCCTTTGCTGCAGGAAATGGTGCTGTTGAAGAAAACTTCTTCCTTTTAAGTCAGAGACAGACCAATACTACTGTGTACTGCTGACCACAGATGGCCATTCAAGTTATCCTGATACTCTTCTTAGAAGTAGCAATTTCAGGATTCATTTCCTGGCCAAATTACAATTTAAATTATTGCATTCTATCCTTCTAACATGTCCCTGCAGTTTCAGCTGGAAACCTCCTCACTTCCTGTCCTACCATATTGCTATGCGCTGTTAAATATTCAGAAGCTGCACCCCAGAGACAGCTGTGTTTCAGTGAACTAAGTCTTTTTTTTACATGTACACATAGCCTATATCTTGGTTCACTTGATGGATTTACGTCAATGCAAGTGGAGGGGCAGGTTCATTATTCTCAAAGTGTTTTTCTTCTGAGGAAAGTGCTACAAAAATGTCATTAATAACCCCTGATCATGCATCACATCTGACAGTCATACAGGTATTTATTTCACATTGGGGAATGCAGTGTTGACTACAGTGCTGTCATGTAATGTTTTGTCCTGTGTAGGTGGTATGTCCAAAGAGAAGCCAGCCCCAGAGTTCCCCAGATTTGGGGGTAAGAGCCCCAGCCACTTCAGGCAGTTCAGAACCATCTGGTTCCATCTACACTGTAAGTACCAGAACCACTCCCATCCCCAAAGTGGCTTCACTAGACCTCTGTGTTTACACCAGAATGCCTGTCCTTCATGATGGGTACTGAGTGCCTGGGACACTAGGGTCAGGGAATGGAAGGAGAGGGATGATCCAGTGCAGGAGTGGCCAACCTGTGGCACACATGTCACAAGTGGCATGGGCAGCCTCTGTATGGCACACAGCAGACTAGGGAGGGAGCAGGGAACAAAGAGGCAGATAGGGCAGGGAGCAGAAAGCAAAGCAACAGACTGGGCAGGGAGCATAGGGCAGGGACCAGGAAGCAGAGCAACAGACCAGGTCAGGGGTTTAGAGTTGTACGCAGGGAGGGTACAGTACTTACCTTGTGGCAAGCCTGCTAAAAAGGTTGGCCCCCAGTGACCTAGTCCATTCATCTCAGTATAAAAAGGCACTGGATGCAAAAAGAGGGCTGGGGAGGGGTCTCTTCTTTGTAGCTTTTGACTCAGAATAAAACTGACAGCCCTTTCCCATTTCTTTAACTGGCAGCAGTCAGCCGTTCCCATTCCTCTTGTCCACTGATGGCTATTCATCAATTTAGGAAAGGAGAGAAAGGCATTTCTTAAACTAGTCTGTGGGGCAAATGAGGAGTAGGGGGATGAAAGAGAGTAAAGAAGAATATTGGCTGAATACTAGGAAACCTTTCCTGACAGTGAAATCTATAACAGAGTGGAAAAGGCTCTCAAGGGGAGAGATGTGAACTGAATTGCATGAATCATTTAAAACTGGATGATACTAAGCTCTAGAGAACAGAGAGTAAAGAAATGTATTTCCCTACCAAACCGAGTAGGTGATAGGGGGATGTGCAGAGATGGACAAAATGGGCCAGGAGTGTTCTAGCTTTAATCTCAAGGATTCTTAGAAGGTTGATAATTTTTTTTTCATTTTTTAAAATTATTTTAATCAAGTTTAAAAATAAAACTGACAGGAAAAAACGGAGTAGCAACTAAAGGGAGGGACTATTAAGTTTATAAGCCTTTTAATTACAAAAACTAACTTCTTTTTATTCCCACTTTTCGAAGAATAGATAGTTTGCCCTGGACATGGCCGATTCTTGCAAAAGAGAATTCAGATCAATTTCTCACCTAGTTGGCTCCATCCTGCATTCTTAGTTTCATCTTAATTACGTTTCATAATGTCGCTTCATTTAGGATGCAAATACTAAGTCTGCTAGAACAGACCAGATTTGAGCAAGAAGTGAGCTTAGTGAAAATGCACTTGTGAAGGGCAGAATCCAGTGGGATACAAACTGCCTCTGCAACATGGGAGATCTTGGAACTGGCTGGTTTAGCACCCAAAATGTCTGGGCTCAGCTTAGGAAGGGGAAAGACTGGATGCCCTGGGAGATGAACTAATTCAGTGTATATTTTTGGCACCTCAGTGTATATTTTTGGCATCCTCATTTAGTGAGGGTGCTAGAGAGCTCCTCCTAGAAGGTAAAGGTGCCATTCCCTGGCAGTCATCTAGGAGGAATGCCTCTTGCAGCATTGTGACCTTCAGTGTGGATATTCCCAGGAACTAGACAGGAGTGTCATACGGAGCTGGTTTCCAGGGTATAGATAAGACCCAGTGTTTTGCTGGATTTCATTGCCACCTTGCAGCACTGACAACTAGTTGAAATGGGATTCAGTTTTGTCAAGCAGACAGGATTAAAACTGTTTACCACCTTGCTCCCAAATTTGATCCATAGTGACAGACACCTTAGAGCAGGGGTAGCCAACCTGTGGCACACATGCCACAAGTGGCACATGGTAGATTAGAGAGGGGACAGGCAGCACAGCAGCAGACAGGGCAGGGAGTGGAAAGTGGAGTGGTAGATTGGTCAGAGGAATGGGACTGGAGTGATGTTCGCGGGGGGGGGGCATGGGGCTAATCTGTGGCATGCCTGCCAAAAAAGGTTGGCTCTGCTGCCTTAGGAGCACTCCCAGTAGATCTGAGAAGAACATGGTTAATCCCATCCACACTATACATCCAAAAAGGGATTTAACAGTGTACCGTTCTCCCACAGTGTGGCTGGGTTATGTGGCAGGCTTGCTTTTCATTGTGTAGGTGGAACCTCAGTTGTTTTGGGAACAAGATGGGAGGACATCTGCTATGATAGGGGATGACAAAAGCTCAAGCCGCTCCTCTTGTTACGGTGGCAGATGGTCAATGACCAGGTGTAGGTAATTTATTTGCACATGAAAATTGCATCCACTAGCTTTCTGATTGGCCAGTAACACGGCAGCATCCTCTAACAGTCTGGACAGGGAGGGGGCTGGGCAAGTCAGGGAATGCATTTGAAGAAACCTTGTTTTGGAGATTTAGCTCTGAAAATTTGTTCCCTACTTGCAAATGACTTAGACTGGAGCAGTGAGAAAGGGACCACTTGTCAGTCAGAGGGCGAACAGCTTGATTCTTGTGCCACTGGGTGCAGGGGACACTCCCCACCCCCAGTCTGTATGTTGCTGTGAGGGGAAAAAAGCACCAGGCAAGAAACTCTCTGTGACCAATGTGAACAGAGCTGAGAATAAGGAATAAGGAAGCTGTGATGGGAGCTGTGTGGAGGCAAAGCATTGGTGGGGTTGTTCCAAGAGAGCGACAAGGGGGTGATCTGAAATAACTGTTAATATTTGTCAGCCTTTTGCAGGGATGGAGCCACATGATCTCCTGCTCATTTTAGCATCCCGCTCCACCTCGGTGCCCCTGGCAAGTCCATCCTGAGCCCTGTGCCAGCCCCCTTCTATTCTGGCTCATCCACTCTTCATTAAATCATGATTGCATAGGGCCTGACACTGACAGGTGCTGAGCATGTGAGGCCCCAGCAAAATGAGCAGGAGTTGCGCAGTCTAGGAGCCAGCACTGCCTGGAATCTAGCCTCAATCACTTGCTCTTTCTCTTTGCTGAATTACAGCAACATGAGAGCCTCACTCACTTTGCCATCTCTTTGCTAATACCATCTGCCTCCTCCTGCCTGCATAAGCTCCACCCATCTTCCTGTTGCCAGAGAAACAGCCACCTTGGCAACCTGCTGTCATCCTTGAAACACACATGAAAAAGTCTTCCCGACTGTTATGTTTGATCCTTCAGGCAGATCTTAGAACATCACTCAATCTGACATGCATCTTTAGTGACAGAATTATCTGAGACCAGAGGATGCTCACACATGAAGAATGTGTGTGTGCGTGTGTGTGCGCGTAAGCATGCATGCTTCTGCGTGTTCCTGTGTGTGAGCCTGTAGATATATGTATGTGTGTCACGGTATGTATCAGTTCCTTTACTCCTTCTGCATTCTGAGGAGAAGGAATAATTCCAGTTAAAGAAGTAAATAAATAAATAAAGGGAAATAGTCCTTATTGCATGTGGCTGGGAAGTTTTCCCTCTTCACTATTCTGTTGGGCCTCTGGCTATCAGGTCAGTCACACTTCCCATCCTTAAGTGCCCAAAGTGATTGTGGTTAGAACCTGGGAGTGACATGCATATCAGTGCAATACTATACCATCCAGAGCTTAGCTGGATCACAGTACCTCCTGGCCCCCTGAGCACTGAATGTCTGTCCATAAAGTGGGTCTTATTTTGCTTTCTGTGAAGAATTTGTGTGAGATGCGGACAGGGAGAATGGTTCTTGTTCAGATTTGCTGCCTGGGGAGAAAAACCTTGACAGCATATCTCTGGGATCCAAAGTCAGTCTAAAGCTGGGACTGCCCTATTCATTCAAGTGCTTTCCTCTTGCCCACATTCAGTTCAGGATTCCTATATATCTTGCAGATTTTTGGGACAGGAGGGTGAGACCCAAATTTCAGGAGGTGTATTGATGCCCAGCCGCAGCAGGCAGCAGGACATGTTTGAACCTCAGTGTACTGTTTTTCATGTGACACAGCCCCTCTTTTCTCCTCCCTCTCCCATTCCAGTGCCTAGAATCCCACCAGCCTGATATCTATTCTGTCCTCGAGAATGACACACACAGTCCAGCACCTGAGAACAGTCCCACAGCAAAGGTGAGTCTCCTCTTCGATAGGCATGATAACAGCCCGCAGGGGTCCCCTTCCAAATTGGGCGTGTGATCAACTGCATCGCCAAACAACTCTGCCCTTATCTATGCAATAATTCTGCTGCTCCCCTGCCCCCAAAAGAGCTGAGCTGCTCCCACCCCTCAGTGGGTGGGTTCCATGTAGACTCTCTTTTTTCCTCCACCTGAATGGTTAGTTTGTCAAGCAGTGCCAGATAGGACAGCCCTAGCTCACATAGATGTGTTGACGTCTGAGGCGGTGGAAGACCTGGGATCATGCGTGTCAAGGGAGCCCTCCTTGTGTGCATACTACATTATTATGAAATACAGGCCTGATTTTGGCTCTGCTATGGCCCTTCCTAAATGCTCAGGCAGCTAAAGATTCTTTCAGCCTGAAGGAATAGAGGCAAAGCCAGGGCACTGCTGGACTCCCCCCTACCTCTGGTTTCATAATAACCCTTTGGGCCCATTACAAAGGGGCTGAATTTAAAGCAGTCCTGAGACTACAGTGACTTCAATCATGTGTTGCTACAATCCCTGCCACCCTAGGGATTGGGGAAAGGAAGCACGACTTTCTTGGCAAGTTGAACATTAGGACAGGACAGAGCCTCGGGGCTATATCCGCTCCTGGCATAAGTGGATGCAGCTCTCATATTTGGCCCTCCAAGGGGAAATTACGTCTGGAACATGGGATTATAGAAGCCAACATATTGGTCCATCTAATTCAGTATCTTGTTTCTTGGAAACATCAGGAGTTTGAAAGTCTAAAAACCCTGCATCAGTTAGTTTGGGGAAAGTTTCCTTGTAACACCCAGTAGTTAGAAGTTGCCCTCAAAATATGAGTGTTCACATCCCTTCCCAAACTCTTGTCTGTTAGGAAAGTATATTTACTATTAACTTTGGATATTCCTGTTATTCATAGACAGGTCTGCTATATTTTTTTAAATATACTGCCAGGTTCTTGGCTTCAATGATATCTTGGGCAGCAGTTCCACAGACTACCTGTGCATTATGGGGAAAGTGACCAATGTTGATTATTGGCACCCTTCTGTTTCATTGATTTCCCCTTTTTGTGTTTTTTTGTTATGAGACAGGGAGAACAGGAGCTCCTGATCTATCTTCTCTACCCCTCTTATTATGTTGTATCATGTCTCCTCTGAGTAATTGTCTGTGTGGTGTGACACTAAATACACAATTTGTTGTGGTGCACTGAATGTGGAGCTCTTAGGGAACTATTGGAACACTTGTACTGCCATAGCTGACACATTAATTTGAGGATGAGGGGGTCTGAATAAAAGTAAGTGGGCAAAGTGGCCTGTTACTGAGAGATGTGGGTATGTCTCTTGTAGCCTAAATCCACCAACTCCGAGCCAGCCAGGGACAGACATAGGAGTGAAGACTGTGAGAAAGCAGGGAGGAAGAAGAAGAAAATGAGAGATACAGTAAGAACCTTCTGCACCCCATCATCAAAAGCAGATCTTGTTTCCCCATATTGTGTAGTTCCACTGTTCAAAAAGAAAAGAGATGAGAGTAACAAAGACAGTCTTAGTCTCTCTGTCACTTAGCCAGTGTCCCATCTTTGGGCTCAGCTCTACAAGAAAATAATGGTAATAGGGACCTCCTCTAATGTGAATGACATTAGGGATGGAATGAGAGGGAGGATTAGCAGGGATCAGATGCTCCGGGCTCCACCTCTGTCTGCAGTGAACAGAGTGATCAAAACTTGGAAATTTGTGGTAAATATTTGTCTCTGGTATAATTCCATCAGTCAAGGAGAAATAAGACCATAAAATCTAGGGCCCTGTCTGTATTAGGTAACTCTGATGTGCTGTCCACCTCTATAACCCATTACCTCAGGACTGTCAAACTCATCTGACCCTGCAGGCTGGATGAGTGGTGTAGGGTAGGTCCACAGGCTGGATCAGGTCCATGGACCCCTTGCCTCCTCCCTTCTGCCTCCATGCCCGATCCAGCATAGATGCCACCCACCCAGGCCAGTCCAGGTTTCTGGCCTGAGCAGGCACCGTATGTATTGCAATCTGGAACTGGCCTGAGAAAGTGCTATGGACAGCACAGTCTGGAACCCACCTCAGCGCATGCTGCGGGTGGCACAGCCCAGGACCGTCTTGAGTGAATGCTGCAGGTGGACCACATCCTGGGCACAGCATGTAGCGATGGTCTGATACAGCAAAAGGGATAGTACCAGGGGCCAGATTATGAGGCTCTGTGAGCCAGATCCATCCCGTGGGTTGTTTGATACCCCTGCCTTTCCTGTAATAGTAACACACCAAATATCTCCAGGTGCAGCAGCAAACAACCACACACAAGTATCTGCACTGCTGTTTGGAGCGCCCTTAATTGAAGCAAGGCTGGCTGCTTTGGTTATATCCATATTAGGGATTATCTCCAATTATCCCACTTCTGCACTGGCACTGAGCACCGTTAAATTGATAGTGGCAGCAGTCAGAAGACTAGGAGAGAGTAGACACTACTATTTTTACCAATAACACAATATAGCAGTATAAATGTTAGTAATGGAGTTTACTCCAGCACTCCCATGGTTGCCGTTACCGGCACAACTGCAGTTTTTGCAGGGAGGGGACAGTTGCAATGGAGGCACCTTGAATTGGAAGATTTGGACAGACCAGATCAGTTAACAAGTTCAGGTGTCTAGCATTCACATGCCCTTGGAGGGTTCTGTACTAGGTGTTTTTGTTTAGTGTTTCCCACTGATGGTTAGCAACAAATAAATGGGTAATGTAGATAGGGTTTCATTCATCCACTGGCATTTCAACTACTCTGCTATCTAATTTTGATCACAGCAGGCCTGTGTCTCACAGTGCTTAGAATATCAGTATCTGGCAGCACCGTGCCTATCTGAGAAACAATAGTGAAGAAAAGATTCAGCTGCTGAAGGAGTGGAATCAGAGAGGTTAGGGAATTCCTTCTGCACAGTACCTAGACGGATATATTTTTACAAAGATCAATCTCCCTTCTTCTCCCAGGCTGCTTCTATTTTTAGAACAGAGAAAAGTAGGAAGCACCTTTATCCTGTAGTCTGGATTATCAATGCTTCTGCCTAGGGCAGTAATTCTCAACCAGGGTGCTGCAGCATATGATTCATAAAATAAACCCAGAGATTTCAAATAGGAATTCTCAGTATCAAAAGCATCCTGACCTGTTGTGGTCTTTCTGAGTTGTTTGCAGCAGGAGAATTCCTCAGTTATTTTTCTGTAGTCAAAAACCGAGTGAAAGTTAAGAGCTGGCATTTTCCAAGAGGTTTCATGAGGCGTACAAGGGGTGCCTTGAATCTAAAAAAGCAGGGAACCACTGGTTTTGGGGAACAGCACAGCATTATCTTAATGGGTCTATAGCAGTGGGCCACTAGTGGCTATTTCTAGTAGAGTGAGTTGCTTATTCTGAATATTTTTCTTCCATTTCTTTTTTCTTTTCTTTGTAGGCACCTAAGCAAGAAACTCCAGAAGAAATCTTTGACACCCTGTATGAGAATATCTAAGAGAAAAGACTGATCATGCCTGGATGGTACATGTCCGAGCAGGAGGAAACTGCCCTTTCACAGTTTCAGGCCCTGCCATACCTCTCCAAAGACTCACAGCAAGCTGAGGACAGAAGCCAGGATGACCTCCAAGCCCTGGTCTCTTTCTAATCTGTTCTTTATAAAGATCAGAATTTCTCCATTAAAATCTCAGGTTAGCTCAGCTGGCCTGGAGGTTCTGGAAAGGCTACTTTTCTGTCAATTATTTACAGTTCTGGCTTCTTGAAATAGTGTAGTTGAGTTGTACATAAATTCTCTTCACCCAGTTTTGCTAATATATTTGAGTCCTGAACCACAGGATGTGCTTGGACAGTATAGAGACCCCCCTGCCCCATGCCGTGTTGTCAGGCTCTCAGGTCTTTCCTGTCATGCCCATTAGATCTTGCTATCTATCTATTGAGACCTGGCTCAGAGCCCAGGGCCCACCTCATTATCTTTCCTTCCCCAAACTGTTCCTCAGCAGTCCACTGAATTCAGCTCTGCAGGGCAAATGCTTTCTCCTGGATGGCTCCAGTAAAAAATAGTGGGCAGTGAAAGCATTAAAAAGATGCAGAAAATTAAGCTGGAGTCTTTTCCCTTTGATGATGTCTTTTGCGGGTGGGGATGTCCTTCATAGGAAAAAGGAGGGGTGGGGCTTTAAGTACAAACAGTCCTGCTGGAGTCCGTCTTGCATATAGACCTGCTGAAGGGCAACTGATATCCCTTCCAGGAAGGGAATTTAAAGAAAAGTGTCTGAGAGTTAGTGTTCCTATAAGCTTTGTTACATAGTGCAATTTTTTTAAGCTCTGATGAGCTGATGTAACATCACAGGGTGAAGTCCTCACCACGCTGAAGTCAGTAGGAGGTTTGTCACTGACATCAGTGGCACAAGAATTGTACACATGGTGGTTAGAGGATTATTTATAAAATTATTTGAGCAAGGAGACTAATTTATTAGATGTGCAATATGGAAGATAGGGGCGGAAGCTGCAGATATGAGCTTTCTATCCAGGCCTTGATCTTTCCTGTTACATAGATCTAACCTGTCTGTTGGACTTAACCTCATTTGAGGTCTGATGGGGAAGGAGATACATTAAATACATTGCATAGCTAGATCAAAACAATTAATCAAAAAGCTGATGTTGTTGTACCTTAGATTTAAAAAAATCCACAAGAATATGTAGAATAAGCTGAGAGAGATCATACAAACCTCTTTAAAGTAGAAGATCAAATTAAAACTGAGCTGCAGGGTCACAGGACCTTCTCTGGTTTCAGATAAGGTTGTTTCTCATCAGAGATGGAGGGTATGGAAAATGTCTCCAGGGCCTCCAAGCTTCCTATACTATGTTTAAAGAGATAATCCTCTTATTGCTTTGCTCTTTTTATTAGATGAGATTTCAAATGTGCAGTTTGAACTTCCCTTAACTGTAGAAAAATGCTTTTCTCTTTCCAGTGTCTAGAAATTTATTTCAGTAAAAGCAATCAATAGACCGGGTAGCTTATTAGACCCATTAACATTGTTTTTCCATTTGGAAAATGATTATTTTTTTGCAACAGAATTTTAAATTAAATATATTTGGGTCACCACGTTTTAATACTTAATTGTTGCCTAAACCAGTACCATTACAGATTTTTGTTTCTCTTGGGGAATTTGTAGTCATGTTGAGGATAAATTATTTTAATATTTAATGGTTTTATTGATCACACCTGGGCAAGAAAATCTCAGAGCAAGCTGACAATTGGATAAGGAGTTAAAGCTTACTAAAATAGAAATGATTTGAGTAGGGTTTTTTTTAATTTTGAATATTATAGATGCTAAGAATTGTATATACAACTGGAAATTTCTTGCCAAGAGTATCAGTTACAGCACTGTTTAGTCGATCTCTTATTCTCATTGTTCTTTTGTATTTTATATAATGTAAATCACTGTATTTATCTATGACCAACTCCATCTCTGTCTGTCTGTCTCTTTCCCTGCTCCCCCTCCCTCCCCACCCCGATTTATATATTGTTTGGTTTTTCAAAATAAAAATGATAGAGAGAAGAAGCCATAGAACAGCATAATTCCTTTCTCCTATGTTGTAGTGGTAAAATAGTAGGTAAAAGCTAAAGAGTAGAGACACAGTGAAAGGCTCTGATCCTTCAAAGTAGTCATAAGCAAAATTCAACAGAGAAAAATGGAAGATCTTTGCATTAGGGGGCCTGATATAAGGCTAAATGAAGTTACTGGAAATCTTTTAAATATATTGTAGTGGGTCTTAGCTTGGCCCATTGAGAGCAGAGATTGTACAAGAAATGAGAGATCTCCTTGTAGGTGCATAGATATGGGTCTAAAATACTGCCTTAGCATGGCCCAGGCAATGCGGAGCTGGAGCTTGTGAGAGTGGAAGGTGTAAACCAGAAGAACATGAGGGGTATTTTTTAAGACACAGAAGTTTTCCAAGGAGATATTAAAAAAATATCTCCAGTCTAGGCAGAAAAGATTTATAAAGATCATTTAAATAACATTAGTGTAACCGATGTGTCTCAGAGACTTAACAAAAACAGTAACCAGTTGGTCTGTCTTAGCTGTCTAGCCCATGAGGGTGAGTGCAGGGAATTAGTATTATTTGCCTATATTCCATCAGATGAAATTAGATAGTTTTTAGTATGTGCCAAACATTTCAGATGAATGAAATAAAGAAATATTTCCATCGGCCTCTTGGAATCTGTTTCTTGTTGGCTTGTTGCGCCTATTCCACATACATTTTTGCTTTAAATTACTTTTTTTTTTAATGTATGTCTGGGGGCTGTGGGTTATAGCTGTAATCTTTCCCTCAGCCCCTGCACTCCTATATACTCAGACTTGCTCAATTACAAGAAATTAGACTTACAGACATTTTGGGAATAAGGGTCTTTGTGCCTGCAGTATTGCATAGAGGGAGAATCTGCTGTTATATAGTAAGCACTGGCTGCAGTTGGAGATGCTCTATCCATCCTCTTCAAAAAGGAAGAATGGTTTTGCCCTGAATGAGCACTGGTCGTGCGGTGATTACAATCCTCCTTTCCTGGAACAATCACAAGCAAGCCATATGTCCTGAAGCACGTAGTTTGATCACTCTTATTCTCATTGTCATGCCAGAACTGCAACAGTTGTTGAGAGTGATGAAATTATCTAGCCTCTTTTTAAAGACAGCTTATTTCAGTGATCTCCTGCAGTGAATTCTGCACTGACTGGCAGAGACTGGGTGCATTTTGGTATTTTGTTCTGTTTTTGTGACATCTGAATCCTTTTACTGAACCATCTTTTAATAAGTATTGTGTTTTGCCTTCTACTTGTAAACAAGAAACACCTGTAACCTCAGTCAACTAGAAGGTCCAAGGTGGTGTGTATTTTTTCCTTAATTTTCTTCTATTTAGTATTATGATTATTAATCATCTGTTTGACAGTAGCGTTTCTAGGGACTTAAGTCAGCACTGTGGTTTTCCTCTGCTAGGTGCTCTGGCTGCCAATATCCAAATGACACTGATATTTATTTATAGATGCATTTAGCCACTTAGCCTCTATCCTGTAAGGATTCATCAGCTTCTCTGAGGAGATGGGAATTCAAGACAGTGGTCAGGGAGTGCCCAACCCCTTGCAAGTCAAGGGCCATTGATCAGAAATTGTCTTAAATTGTGGTAGAAATTAGGTGCAGTGACTCATGGCTCCAGGCTTGGAGCATCTTGAAAAACCACCAAGAGACTGAACCTAATGCAGTGAGTGGAAATCAGATTTTGTGAGTTTTACCCATTGTTATGCACTCCCTCAACTGCAGTAGCTCAGGCATGGTAGGATTCAGCCTTAAATATGATGGGAATTGCCTGCGTTTGAGAGCTTCTGTTACTCTGCTTTTCTTTTAGCTTGGACCGATGACTGAATGGGACATGCTGACCACTGCTGCCTTTCATTTGAAGAGAGCAAAGGCTGAGTTGGGAGCCCTGCAGGCTTTTGCCATCAGTATTCCCCAGAGTGCATCCATGCCACCTTCCTGTGCTAGGCTCAAGACTCTCTCATTCCCTTGTGCCTTGTGTTTTCACAAGGCCAGTTTGTTTATCCAGCTCTTCACTGCCCAGTGACCGGACTCTCAGAGAAAGGGATTTAGGGAAGGTGGCAGCTCAAGCCAGCAGATGGTGCCCTTGGTTCTCTTTGTGTGTCCTCTCAGTGCCCTCTGAGTGTCTGGCTCTCTCAGCCCTGCCTCACTATCTACAGTAGCAAAGCTGTGTTGAATAACCAGAAAACCAAGTCAACTTTTGTGGCTGGTAACTTTATTACCGTAAATAACAATTGGAGTGAGGACAGTATTAGAAAGCTAATCAAACCCCATGTTTTGGCCTGCAAGAAAACAGCTGCCTGACAGAGCCAGGAAGGGATTCCCACTTCCCATGTATGTACGGCACTGTACAGTTTCCCAGAGGCCGCATGTATGCAAGCTGAGAGTGGGAAAGGATGTAGGGTAGGTTCATTTACTGCAGATATATGAAGTATTGACAACATTGTTCCTGCCAGCCACCGGTTACCTTGTTTTGACATTGCATTATCCAAACCATGATAAGGGTTGAGGAAAGGCGAGGGATCTTTTTCTTGCAAGTATCATTCAGATAGATTGGAGTTTGAAGTGCAAAACAAGCAGGATATTAGAGGCCAGTGAGAACTGCTACCCAGGTCCCCTCCTTTGGTTTCTACAGTCCTGCAGGGGCATGCTGGAAAGCAGGAGAGATGGCTCGGCTTAGATTTGGAGCCATTGGTGTGAGCCGGATACAGGAACGGAGAACTTCTTCCACATGCTGGTTATAAAGTCTGCAGGAAAAAGACTTTCCAGTGTGAGTGGTTCTTCTGTTTGGGCCTGGCAAGAAAGTGACAGAAGATAAAATTACTACCCCTTTTGATCTTTGTAGTGGTTTGATAGCCAAGACTTGCCTCTCTTGGGGGGCATAGCACTGAGTCAGCATGTGCTTCCGACCCTAGAAACTATGAAACTATGAAATGAAAAAGAAGGGGATCAGAAAGAGGCAAGTGACTACCCTTTTGCCCTACTGACCTCCAAACAGATATGAACCTTCATTGTCCCCTGAGCAATATTTTGCCTTTCTAAGGCACTGTTATAAAAACAAATTTGGGACTGGGGCCAATATCTCTATTTGTTAGAGAATGGCTCACTATTATGCATTTCACTAATGAAATGCAGATTATTATTAATAAGTAATATTTTCCCCAGTGCCTTCCATAATCCCAGAGTGTATGGCAGACTTTATTAACTGTATATCTGCAGGACTCAGATCACAGGCTACTGAAATGCTGCCGCCTCTGGGGTGGAGTGTGATAGCTGTTTAACAATGCATGGAGTAGCTACACAACCATTTTCAACAGGAAGTGAAGAAATGCAAGTGGCAGCGCATGATGCAGGATGTAAAATTATATAACCTTTGTTATGCGGAGGTCAGATTAGATGACCATAATGGTCCCATTTAACTAATGTCTATGAATCTAAGAGTGTTGTAGCTAATTGAAATTCTAGGGGGATCTTTAGGGAGTTTGAATGTAATTATCTAAATTGGTACATGGCCAACAAAGCCTCTAACTTTTGCTAAAAGTTGCATCTTTTAATGACCAAGAAGGGGCAGGGCCTCAGTTTTATGTCTCATTTGAAAGATCTTCCTGTTCAGGATTTTATAATGACCTCAGCACAATGGTATCCAAGTGCTTCCATGTAAGATGGCATCTAGAAGCTCTCTGACACAGCGTGGGGGCCATTACTCAGTAACCTTGTAGAAGAATACCTCATACCCACAACAGCTTTCAGCCTGGGATTTTTAACAGTTTTACAAGGTCAGCTGTTATTGTTTCAGTCTCAGAAATGGGGAAACTTTGGACACAAGTTGGTTTAATGTATTTTCCAACATTGCACAGTGAGTTTGAGCCGACCGTGGAAGAGAAGCCAGGTTGCCTAGTTTGCTTTCTTTTGCTTTAAGTGTTGAATCATGCTGCCTTCTGTTGGCTGGGAAGGAGGTATCACCTTCTCAAGTGGCAGCGTTAGTTCCTGCAGCACTTTAATATAACACAAACACAATATAATGTGGGTATACACACCAATATATGAAGCAGAGATGGCTCAGCAATTTATCACAGAGCTAATTTACTACATGGTTCTTCAATTCATAATGTAACCTAATGTAACATACAGAAGGTAGTGGAAGCTCTGAGTCAGATAAATCTGAGTCAATAGATAAACCCCTGAAAAAGTTTGAGGTTTCAGTCTTAACATTTTTGTGAACAGAAGAGCTAGTTAGCCTTAGTTAGTTTTAGGGAGGGTTATACCTTCAGGTAAGCCACATACTTTTGGCAGGTGCAAAGATAGTCCCAGTTAAAACAAGAATTATAAAATTATTCCAGAACTTTTGTAGCATGGGTTATTTTTCTATAACACGTGCCATATAAAGAGTAAATAACGATATGGTATGGTCTTATTATCACTTGTTTGGGATGAATAAACCACACCATGATGCATTATTTCTCCTGTATTATAGAGAAGTTGAACTATTTCATGATGTGGTACAAATGTATAATCAGTATAAGCTCATATTAGCTTGATTACTTTTATTTTAAATATTTATTTTGATAATCTCGCATTAGATATAGAATAATAAATCTTCAGACTTTGCTTCAAATTCCTGTCTCTGGATGTAAACATTTTTTTTGTAAGAGGTAAGCGTGGTTCAAATACTAGGCCTAGGCAAGGATTTGTATTGCACAAGCTGTGAATTACAAGTGGACATCACAGCAACAAGAATAAAAGGTTGAGGAAGGGGTGCCCACTCCATCTTTGCTATTCCTATTATCTGATGTGACTTTTCAGGGGAATTTAAATGGTAAAAGCATTCTGGGATACTTTGTGGGGACAGCCTCCTTCCTCCTAGACCTGGGGTACTTTGCCTTATCTGTGTCATACACTTTGAAATAAGCATGGTGTGTAAACTGATGACCTTGTACTCTGTGTGCACATTATGTGTGCTCTGCATGGTTGCATGGGATACTCATCCTGGCCAGTGCTATTGCAATGACAGGAAGATGAAGGCCAAGTCCAGGTTGCACAGGACTGGAATCATATGGTTCCTTTAGACAGAAGGAAGAGAAAAACTGGTCCTCCAGTCACAGACGGGAAAACCTACAGCCCAAACCCCTCCCTCTGGTCAATGTGGGATTGTTCTTAAAAGTTTTCTCCAGTGATTTGTTCAATCCAATTTTAAATGACTCAAGTGATGGGGCATCCCCAGGGATATTATTTTGCAACCAAATAATGTTTCCGTTGCTTAATTTCATCCTATAACTCTTCATTATACTCCCTCAGACAACTTGAAACATCTTTTTTCTCTCCCTGGTGTCTTCGCACCCTGGAAGTGTTTATCCCCAGCTCCCATGATCCTCCTCTTTGTTGTTGTTTGCACAAACTACACATTGAGGCTTCCTGTGTAACATAATCACTGCCAGCCCTTTTATTGTTTGATGTCATTGTTCTTTTTAATTCCCCTTTGCACTGTCAATGTCTTGCTGGTACTAAGTTGTCCAGAACTAAACATGTCCTCAAACTGCGGTCTCGCCAGTGTTGTAAAAAACAGGACAATTGCCTATCTCTGCAAAGAGGCCTCTGCATTTACAGCCCACAATTAAATTAGCTAGATTTTGCTGCCATATAATATTGTAAAAAACATATTAAATCTGCTGTCTACTTTTTCCCTGGGGTCTTTGGCATTCCTGTTTTCAATACTGGAGCCCACATGATTCTTCTCCATTGCCTGTCTCATCTTTCAGTGGCTCATATGTTGTACGTACCATCCTTTCAGACAAATAGGAGTGGATAGGGAGGACTCCCCTTCGGGGTCCATCAGTATCACTACTGACATATGAGCAAACTCTCTTTATTTTTTAACAAAATATTTTCTTATTTTCCTCTCCAAGCTGCCTTATTTCAATACAATTAAAAGACATATGCCTATTTTTTTATGCTCAAGTATTCCTGTTTATAACTTTTAAACTTTGGCTTGTGTGTTCTTAATCTGTAACAGGCAGACAAGATTCTTTGGGTGAATCTGATATCTTTTATTAGACCAACTTAAATAGTTGGAAAAACACTCTTGCAAGCTTTTGGGTTTAAAAACCCTTTGTCAGGCTGAAGAGCCTGACACCAACTGCAGAGACTTCCTTAGCCTGATGAAGGGTTTTTAGACCCGAAAGCTTGCAAATTTTTGTTTCCAACTATTTAAGTTGGCCTAATAAAAGATATCAGATTCACTCAAAGAACCTTGTCTGCCTGTGTCTTTAGACCAACATGGCTACAACCTACACCCCTTTAATCTGTAACAGGGCATTTGAGCCTCATATAGCATGGGTGAGGGGTTGAAGCAAATGCAGATTTTTTTCCCATTAAGTTTGTATCACAGCTGTCAGGAATGTAGATAAGTTCCTCTTGGTTGAGACTGACTGACTGACAGGAAGCCACATCAAAATGTCCCTTTGTGCAGGAGACAGAGCTTTCTGTGGGACTGCCTAAGACTGCAAAATGGTTTGGTCCCTTTTGTCATAAACAGAGGGACAATATGAACCTATAAAAAAGAAAAATATTACCACCAAACCAGAATAGTTCCCTGTATTTTTCCTTTGGGGAGAGAATGAGAGAGAAAGCATAGCACGTGGCAGCTGTTAGTCATATTACTGAACATACTCCTGGAAGGTGTATGTTGCAACGGTCAGTGTAACAATCTATACAGAACAGAACAGTATTCAATAGGGTTCTGTAAATGAGAGAATCTGGCCAACTAGGGTAAAACGGCTGTCTTTAAAAGACAGAGGAAAGTGTTCTTATTTCTCCTATCTAGGTTTCACCATGATCATCTGTGTTGATGTTTGATAAAGAAAAAAGGAGGCTGTTAATGTTGGTTTGCTACCAGTCCCAAATGGGATCCCTGTTACTCTGTTGCACATACATTCCAGAGGTGTTTGATTTTACAGTCTCTCTGGCAGAACGGGTTCCCCCAACCCCCGCAGCAGGGCTGAAACAGCAAGAGAGAGAACTTCCCCGGACTTCAGGTTTATTTATTGATTTCTTGCTACAACCAAAATAAAAGCAGACTAGCAAAATCTCTGCCCACATTCCCTTCCTGCAGTTGAATGTTTGTTAAATGCCACAAAAATATAAAAACAGCTGAGCTGTGTCTAGAAAATCCAGCACTTCTTTTCTAGACCAGTAGTCTCAATCAATTTCCTCCTGAAAGAAGCTTCACTTTTTTTCTGGGACTCTAGTTTCAGCTTGTCTTAGGTGCAGGTATGTACCCTTGAGTCTTCTTGGGTTACAGTCAGCTCAGGGAGGTGCCCCAAGAAGGAATTCTAGCCTGCTGGATTTAACTTTAACTCACCCCCAAAAACAGGATATGGCTTGGCTTAGTGATGTATCCTCTTTGGGGTACAGACCCCATTGTGTCTGTGAGGCTTAGGAGACACTGATACACCCCTTTCCGTCCTCCCCGCCACCCCAAAAACAAAACCTCCCACAATCCTGATAATCACTTCCCAGCCTGATAGTAGGCTGAAAGGACTTTTAAAACCTGGGCACTTTTGCAGAGGAAGAGTCAACATTGGCACCCTCGGGCTGTACCAGGAAGGTGCTTATATTCGCCCAGATGCCAAGTACCCCATAAAAACTTGTCCCTTTTCCCTTGGGCTGGAGAAAGCAGCAGCCGGCAGCAGGCTCTGCAGAATTGAGGGAAGGGGCCTCAGAGCTGGGGAAAGCATGATCCAGCCTGCAGCGTTCATACACATTTCAGCTCTGTAGAGGAAAAGCAGCTTTCAGCTGCCAGCAAGGAGTCAGGCAGGGTCCCCTCAGCAAGAGCACAACATCCTCCTCCCAGGGAGGGGGAGGGGGAGGAAAGGAAAAGGGAGGATGCAAAGAAAAAAAATCAGACAAAATACACTCCTCCTCCTCCTCAAGGCATCACTACAAGATGCCAGAACCCTAATCAACACCAGGCTCCATCCTCCCAGTCCCAGCTGCAGTGAGAGCCCAGCCCAGCCAGCAGCAACTCTCTGTCATCAGCCAGTCTGGCCTGACACATTGAGCCCAGGCTACTGAGTATTGTCCTAAAAGCAGAAAGAGAGAAAAAAAGGAGAGAGAAAGAGAGAAAGAAAGAAATCACTCAATCAGTCACATGACTTGACAGGATTTGTGACCATTCCTTTCTGTTGCAACAAAGAGTTTTCAATACATATCCCAAGCCCCCCCCCTCCCCCCAACACAAGGAAAGGAGCTAAGATGGGACAATAAGGAACCCTTGCAAGGTAAGAACCTTTCAGGGGGAGGTGTGCTGAGCTCAGGCTACACCACTGTGCGCGGGGGAGGGAGGGGGAGGAAAGGGGCTTGCTTGCCCGGGGTAGGAAAACTCCCTGGTGCAGGGAAGAGGAGCTGTGCTGGTGCTTCCCTACTTCTTTATTTGATATGTTTGACTCCCCCCTCCCTCAGTAGCACATAGAAGGCATGTTTGTGTGCGTGTTGCCAACTCTTTGCGTTTGGAGAGAGAGGGAAGAGAGGCGTGCAAGCTCATTTCCTTGAAAATATAAGTAACTACAACCGTCCCCACAACCAGCTCGGCTTTGATGTTGTGCTGGAGGAAATGGGGTGCGCTGGGCTGGGAGCTATCGAAACCGAGTAGTTATAGGAGCAAACAAGATCGACTGAGGGTGGGGGGTGGCTGGCAGGTGAGGCTATCAATAATTAAAGTAACTCAAGCACTTCAGATTAGAAAAAAAAGATTTAAAAAAATCAGGTCTTATTTTAGCATCTCTCGATGGGGAAGCTGCATTGATGCGTGTGTATTTGTTGGAAATAAATGGCTTGTAAAAGAATTGGCAGGTCTGGCTGGCTTTCTTTTTCTTTTTCTGTCTTTTTTTTGTTTGGCTTTGGATTTTTGGTGTGTGGTGTTTATTGCAGTTAAAAAAAAAAAATCTCAACTGTAACCTGAGCTCTTCCCCTGCTCCCCACCCCAGAGAAAAGGGTTTGAAGAATGACTGTTTGTTGAAATGTATTATTGAAGGCAGGAGGAGGGAGGTGGTGGTGAGGGAATCTGTAGCTCTCACATTTCACATTCTTTAGCAACCTTCTCTTAAGTGTGAAGGACACACACACGCACGCACACACACACGTTTTCAACAATCCAGGGCCCAGTGTAGTTGGCCCTTGGGAATTAATCTTTCTTCCCTCTTCTTTCGGGTCCAAAGATTTTTCAGCACTTGTTTCTCCCCCCCACCAAAAAAAAAATTACAAAGTTGGGGGAGGGAAATGGAGGGGATGCGGGGGAGGTACTGTTGGTCTGTTTAATGGGAAGTTACACTTGGGCAATTCCTATTCAGCAAAAGGGGAAAACTGCCTGCTGAAAGCCCTGGATGAAATCTTTTCCTTCCCTTGATATTTTCTATATGTTTCACTCCTTCTCTTGCATGGATTCCTGTCAGTCATATGGCTACTGAGTGTCTCTGTTCAGCTGCCTTTAACCTCCATTTGCCACTTAAAATTTTGTTATGATCAGCAAATGGCTAAAGCTTTATAGTGGCGTTGTGCTTTGCTGCTGTTTTTTTCTCTTCCCCTTTTTTTGCTTTAACAAACCAGAACTAAACGCTGCTCTGAATTTTGGGAAGCGCCATCCGGCAACACTTTTATCTTTTTAAAGCACTGTCTGGATTAAAACCGGGTCTCATCACTTCTGGCCATAGGATGCCCTCCCCTTGCCTACAGTGAGTCCAAGTTGTTGACAAGATTGGTGTGTGTGACAAGTTCCCTGCCTAACAGCATGTCGAAGGCTCACGACTGGACTTCCTTTGGGAATACAGACAGCAGTGCGGTG